CTCGATCCCAGGACCCTGGGATCATGACCTGAGCCGAAGGCAGACGCTTAACGACTGAGCCACCCAGGCGCCCCTTAAGATTTTATTTTTAAGGTAACCTCTACATCCAACATGGGGCTCAAACTCACAACCCCGAGATCAAGAGTCACATGCTCCCCCGACTGAGCCAGCCAGGAGCCCCAGATGAGTCTCCTTTTTTGAAATGTAGTAGGCATATACAAAGCAAAAGGGATTGCATGCCAACAACAGTTCATATGAAAAATCCCTGGGGCACCTGGGTGGCTCAGTCAGTTAAGCCCCTGACTCTTGATTTCAGCTTAGGTTGTGATCTCAAGGTTGTGGGATCGAGCCCCATGTTGGGGTCCACGCTTGAGATTCCCTCCCTCTCCCTCTGCCCTTCCTGCTCATGCTCAATCTCTCTCAAATAAATAAATCTTTTAAAAAAAGAAAATCCCTGTGTGATCTGATGGTATGACCCAGCTAAGAAAAGAAGGTTGAAGGAGAGCTCAGTTCCACAGTTGTCATAGGCATCGGATAATGAGAAATCGTCAATTGACTGGATTCTTTGTTAATCCTTTTGGAAATCTTTCACCTTTATAATTTGAGAGGAATATGACCTAAGATCCTTGTAAGTTCCCAGAACTTCTGATACCACAATAGAATATCATTTGCCCTATACCACACACACATAATAAAAGTCAAATTGAGATTTGAATATTGGAGTATCAGCTAGGCTCACTCACGAGCTAAACGGTCATTTCTTTTTCTTTCTTTCTTTCTTTCTTTCTTTCTTTCTTTCTTTCTTTCTTTCTTTCTTTCTTTCTTTTCTTTCTTTCTTCTTTTTCTTTCTTTCATGTTCAGTTAGCCAGCATGTAGTACATCATAAGTTTTTGTTGTAGTGTTCATAAATCAAAATGAACTAAGCGATTTAAATGACTTAAATGTCATACCAGCCTGGTAGCATCAATCCAGACTTTTTTTTTTTGCCATAACCAAAGGACCAATTACTATAAGGAGTGGGCCTTTAGAGTCATTATGAATAGTTAAAACTGCAGGTGTTAATGTAGTAACTGTCAAAAGTCAACTGTACTTAGCCCAGGAATGCTAATATCTGTGCTCACTCAAGCACTTACCCCTCCATTCACTTACTCATTTATTTAACTTACATTTATTGAATATCTCCTATTTGTTAAGAGTTATAGTACATTTTTGGGTAGTCTGTTATGGGAACTCTAGAAGATTTAAGGGGGACATGGAAGCTGTCTGAAGAGGGAGGAGGCTTTTCTGTGTTTTTTCTGGAAGGCACAACTAGGGAGAGTGAGCAGCCGAGAAAGAGCATCACACTTGGGCACAAATTGCAGAAGAACCTTTTGACTTTGGAATAAGCTGAGCAACAATGGAACCCGCTGCCTTGCAAAACAGTGATCTTCCAGCCAGTCAGGGGAATGGTCAGGGCACAGATAAGAAAGGTGGGGCCCCGAAGGACTGTGTGACCTGAGCAAGAGCCCATGGCCGGTTCGTGTAGGGCCTGGCTTGGCACCTGGAGTCCGAGTCAGCCCAGGCCAGCCAACCCTTAGCATGTCAGGATTTAACTGTTGTTCTTTCAAACTCAAAGCTCCATGATATGTTGTAATTTATCATTCTGATGAAACACACACTTCGAGGCTAGCATGTGGGAGTGAGTCCCCAAGCTGGCAAGCAAATAGCCCCATCTCAAAGAGACTTTGAAGTTCTAGGCTTGTGGAGTAATTCTTGTGATGTATCCCAGTTTTTTTCCATGACAAAGAGTAGTTAATGTTTCTGGTAATGAGCAAAAAAGTGGAGGTTCTTATCCGTAATATGAAGTTTCAGATAAATTAGAGTGGCAGGTTAAATTCAGTGGTGATGTGGATCCATAATATGAAATTGTTTCACTGAATGTTCTGCAGTTTTGGCAATCTGCCATGGAGGCGGATGGGGAAATATTCAAGAAGAACAAGAATATTTTGTCCTCGGGGCGCCTGGGT